AGCAATGAATTTGCATGCATTGGTGGGATAAAACATATTGGTATCCAATGGCTGTATACTATTGGCTCCTCTTCTGTGTTGGGCATGGTTGTGGTTGGCTACCAAGTGGCAAAAGCTACTTTGAGCCCATGGCCTCGAGAATGTTACATGTGGTGTTGATGGATTATAAGGTAATAGGTGAAGAAATTCTTTGGAATAGCAAGCACTGGGTGCTTTTTATCAATAATATGAAGCACTGGGTGCTCATTATGTGAACAAAGAAATTATATCAAGCATTGGGTACCCCTAGCATGAACAAAGCCATGATGATGGAAAGCACTGGGTGCTGGTGATTATCTATGTCCTTATTTGGTGATGGTATTGAAACACATCTGAAGCAAGGTTTCCAAACACATGCAGCTGCTGAGATGCAAACATGGTCCTTGATGGTTGGCCATTGCAAATCTGCATGCCATGAACAGCACAAACTTTCCTTTTTGGTCAGCTGTGGCAAAACAGTCTATGGTCCCAGCACCTTGGCCCAACTCAGTCCTGACCAGTGGGCAACAATGCCACAGAAACACATGGGCATACTTTGCTCCATTGTCTTATGAAATAAACATTGTAGCTCAATATGTGTGAGTGTCTTTGTCTTTTTCTTTTTTGGTACATGTCTCATGTTTCCCATAATCATTGGTTGCACCTTGCCTTCTTCTCCTTGGTGGTGGCTTCTCCCTGGAGGCCCTCTTGCAGCACAGTGAAAATGGGACCAAGTGCCTCTGGTGTCATTTCTGGTTGGAGGTCTGCCTGAATAGATCCACCAGAGCAAAAAATGGGTACACTGTGGCCCTCTACATCAATGTGGACAACTTGGTCTTTCACATTGGCTCTCATCTTCTTCTTTGGCTGTTCCAAGCCCATGCTATCTCCTTCTGTTTGGGTTTCTTCCAATTCTTTGGCCAATGCTTCCTGTCTTTTGGCTTTCAAAGAAGCCAACTGTGTGCTGTCTGTGAGGCTGGCATTTTTTTTGGGTGCTGCCACACCACATACAATTTGGATGATCTTGTAATAGCTTGGCCTGATCTTCAAATAGTCTTTCCCTTCATGCTGTGCCACCAACTCTGGTGGGATCATGACCTTTTTGGATTGCTGGAAAGCCAGGCAATATTGCTTGCTGATTGTCACCATGGCTAGGTGCTTGTGGCACAAGCAGGAAAAGGCACTGCTGACTAAGCCTTGAACATGAAAAGCACACAGTGCTCTATGGTTGGCCTTCCACATATGTAAAGAAAGCACTGGGTGCTGAAAACATTGCCCACCCCATGTAGCCACATGAATCATTTGGCTGCAGCATATGCTTGTATTGTAGTCCTTTCATGCATGGTCCACAATGATGCAACACAGCCACTATGTCAAGCACACCTTTTGCCAAGCACCAAAACCTACTCCTGGTGTGTGGCAGCCATTTGATTGGCAAAAACAAAGCTCAACACCTCCAGTGGAGCTACTTTGGGTGAAACCACACTAAGTCCTTCCTGCTTTTGCCCTCTTGGCTGGTGGTGACACTGTGGCTTCCTCTTCCTTCTTATCCTTTTCCTTGTCTTTGTCTTTGTAAAACAGCAGCTGGTCCCCAATGTCAATCTTGGTGGAATTCTTGTAGCCAGGGATTTGCCAATTGGAGGATTTGGCAACAAAAGGCTCCATGTTGGCCAAAGACTGCTCAGGGGTTGGCCTCACATGGAAGTATGGAACCAGGCAACCTGTGCCTTCCTTGGGGTCCAACTTGGGTGCCAAAATTTGCAACTCTTGGCCCAAGGGGCTGGTCATGGTGAGCATGGAGGCCTTCACCTCCTTCACCACAGCCACAGGGCCAACTGGAAACAGCACAAGCTTGCCCTTGCCAAAGCTCTTGTTGGCCAGGATGCCATTGAAGTTCTGGGCCACCAGCAAAGAATCTGCGTCCAGCTTCACTTTCCTGCAAACACAGCTGGTTTAAGTGTGGGTGGCAAATTTGCAAATCTTGTGTGAATTTGTTGCGCATAGCACAATGAGTTGCAACCAAGATACTCCTGGTAGTGTTGGCACAGGATTTGCTGGGCCTCTGCCTTCATGGCTTCCTTCAGCAGCTGCTCACTTTGGCTTGGGTGTAGCTTCTCCAGTGTTGCAGTTGGAACCAACACTGGGAGGTCCCTGTCAAACTTTCTAAATCTCTTCAGGTCTTCATTCTCCACTTCCAAGCCAACTGCTGGCCCAATCAATGGCTGGTGCTCAAAATTGGATTTGTCTGGGCCAACATGCTGGAGCTTCCAAACTCTTGGGTCAGCAATTTTGGAATCTTTGGCTTTGTAAGTGTAATGGCAACCTGGCTCCACTCTGTAAGTCTTCATGGCCAGCTTGGCTGGGTCTGCAGCATCCTGGCAATGGGTAGCAATGGAGGACAATTAAACCACAATTAAAAATCCAAGCCACACACAAACATATGTTGTGGGCACATGCATACAGATTCCCAGGCCTGGAGTGTATCTGGCTGGGGCATAGGCTGTTGGTGGCTGGAAGAAGCTGGCTCCACAGATGGGGCCCCAGGTGCTGCTTCCACTTCCAACAGCTCTTCAGAAAACAAAGTGGAAATTTCAGCTAAAGACTCGTAGTTTTTGGTGTCTCTCCCTTTGGTTTCCTTCTTGGCAATATGCAATGCCATCCTGACCATGCACCTGCCCATCAAGTTGTAAGCCTTGGGTGTGTCTTTCCATGGCTTGCCTTGCAAAGTGGCCCAGTTCATGGCCAACATGGATTCACATTGAATGACCAGAGCCTTTTGGTGCTTGGACTTCAATTTTTCACAGTCTGCCTTGGTCAAACATTTGGCAATGCCATCAATTGACCTTGGTGCAGACAAATTGGCTGCCAAGAGTGCAGCCCGCACCCAGGGCATGCTGGAGCTTTTCTCCTTGAAGTCCAGGTAGGCCACTGTGGAGAAATACTCTTCCCCCAGCTTCAAAGTGGTGCTGAACTGCTTGCCTGAGTACAGGGTGTCATGTGGCAACAAACACAACAATGTCAGAAACCCAAACAGATGTTGGCAGCTAATGAAGCCCAGCTGCTGATGTGCTGGAGCAGGTGGAGCAATGGCCAGCCAACACCACCACTGAAGTTTTGGACATAGTAGCCCATGGTCTGCATGTAGTTGCTTCCCTCTGGCTGGCTGCTGGCTGCCAGTTGAATGGCTTGGGCCATGTCTCCTGAGCCATTGCTGTCTTGGCCATGCTGGTAGTGGGTGGCAATGGTGAGCATGGTCTCACATTCGCCTTGGCCTTGGCTGACTGCCTGAGTGGTGTTCAAGGCCTGTTGGACCAAAGTTGGCAGGTCTGGGAAGGCCTCTTCAACCAGACTGGACACCACCAACCATGTCCACCCTTGCTCACACATGGTCACCAAACCATCTTGGCTGTTGGCCAAAGCAGCCAAACTCAACTGGCCATTGGTTTTGGCCTTGAGACTTGGCTCCTGGGTTTGGCACCCATGGAGAACTGCTCTGCAGAAGGCGACTAAATGGCTGCTGGAGCAGCTGAGCAATCTCTCTTGGCCAGTTACTGGTGCCAGTTGGTTGTGGGAGGACTCCACTAGTTGAATGTTGGCCTGGAGCTGTTGCTGCTTGGTGCTGCCTTTGGTCGACACCTCAAAGGCAACACTTTCTTGGATCTTGTTCATGGCAATACCCAATTCAAGCATCTTGGCACCCTTGGCATGCACATCCCATGCATTGAGCATGATGCCTGCTCTATTCTTTGGGTGGCACAACACTTGGCTGGGGACCTCTGTCCTTGGCCATGCCAAACCTGCTTGGACCATGGTTTCCTTCAACTTGGCCCATTTGGTGTTGATGGGCAGTTGCTTGTCACCCTTCAGCTTGGTAAGCTCAGCCACCACATGGGGGTCCATGGCTATATAACAGGTGGCTGCACAGGGAAGCTGCTGTTCTTGGACTCATGTTGTCCAACATTGGTCTTCCTGGAATTTGTGTTCACTTGTTCTTTCCATTTCTGTTTTTTTGTTTCTTGCCTTTGACATTCACATTGTACAGGCTTCTGGAAGCTGGGCACACTTGTCTGCAGGAATTCACAGATCCACACATGCTCTTTTTCCAAACAATTCAAGCTGTGGCAAGCAAATTCAACTTAATGCTGGATAGCACTGGGTGCTGGGTATATAGCACTGGGTGCTGGGTATAGCACTGGGTGCTGGATATATAGCACTGGCTGCTGGGTAGCACTGGATGCTGGGTTGCACCGGGTGCCTATATATAGGTAGCGCTGGGTGCTGTCAATAAACCAATGCAGCTATATGGCATTGGGTGATTGGTGGATGGAAAAGTTGCCTGTAGCACTGGATGCTACAGGTATTGCATGGCAAGTGCCACACTGGTGCTGGCAGCTGTGGAGATCTGATGCATTGCAAATGTGCTTGCAGCAGGCTTGAAAAATATGAAAAAGTTGTCTGCAAATTTCAATCAAGAGATATCAATGTGCCAGAAAACATACAAACCTGGGCTGTGGAACTTTTCAAAATTTTGTTTTAAAAACAACATTGGACAAAGAAAAAGTTCGTGAGAATATTGATCATGTCCATGTTGTGAAATTAGCTAATTCTTAGCTAAGCCATGTCTAATGTTTAGCAAAATTATGTTGCTTTATCATAATTAGCGAAAGATTACTTAATCATCTTACTTGCTTATAAGCTTTTAGGAACTTTAGTAGATACTTAGCAATGCTTTAACAGGCATTTAACAGACTCTTAGCATGGGTTTAGATAATGTGAATAAACTTCTTAAGCCCTTAGCAAAGAAGCAGATCATCTAAGTAATCATTTTAGATTTGCCGGTTAATTAAGCATGTTGCCATTGTCTTGTATTGATTGTCTCTGTTTGGCAAACATATGTATACCTATATCCCCAGTGGACTGAAAGCACCTGAAAGTGTGGTTCACCCCAGTGTTGAATATGGTTCTGGTCATCACCATTGCCCATGGTGTTGAGTGCTCGGCAGCTGACTGCCAAGATCAGCAAGAGCAAGAATATCAAGGTGCGCGGATTTCTCCGGTAATTTCACAGTGAACTGGAAAATGGATGAACATCTTGAACATGGCCCATTTACTTCGATGTAGTTTGATGGTTTCCGGACCCGTTATATCCCGTTATGGTGTTTGGTGTTTTTTTCTACTTCAAGCTGTTAAATTACCAGATGGGAAACCCGGGATAACGCTGGGTGATATTAACATGAGAATTACATGACACTGCCGAGGTTCTTGCAGTATTGCTGATGAGGATAAGATTTATTTAATCCATATGGATTAGCCAGGAATTTTCATCAGCAGCAATTGATTACCCTCTGGTAATTTAACATAACTATGGAAAGTCACCATTTTTCATGGGACATTTCACTAGATAGATAGATAGATAGAAAGATAGATAGATAGATAGATAGGAGAGAGATAGAGAGAGAGAGAGATAGAGATAGAGATAGAGATAGATAGATAAATAGATAGGTAGACAGATTAAATAGATAGATAGACAGGTAGGTAGGTAGATAGATAGATAGATAGGTAGATAGATAGGTAGATAGATAGATAGGAGAGACATAGAGATAGAGATAGAGATATAGATAGATAGATAGATAGATAGATAGATAGATAGATAGATAGATAGATAGATAGATAGATAGATAGATAGATAGATAGATAGATAGGAGAGAGATAGAGATAGAGATAGAGATAGAAATAGAAATAGATAGATAGATAGATAGGTAGGCAGATTAGATAGATAGATAGATGGATAGATAGATAGATAGATAGATAGATAGATAGACAGGTAGGTAGGTAGGTAGATAGATAGGTAGATAGATAGGTAGATAGGTAGATAGATAGATAGATAGATACTGTTGTGTTTACCACAGCATTTTGAGGATGGATGGTTTAGAGGTCATTTCACGATGTTTCGTGCTGCAGGCTTTGCAAAGCCTCTACCAACTTCATGGCGACCGGATGGATCGTTGCTTGTCGAAAGGGACGATGCATCGTTGAAGCTGGCGAATGGGTGCGTGCTTGAATTGAAGGTCCACTTGGGGTGATGTAAACCATGGTCAATGGTTCTGTAATAGTATATTATATATATATATATACAGTATGTCATATATGGTAGTTAGTATATCATATATATATATATAATAGTAATAGTAATGATATGTAAGATGATTATGAGTTATATATATATATATAGATAGTATATCATTCTTCTGGGCAACTTCAAATTACAACGGCCCCACTACTCACTGGGTTCATGGTTTTTAGAGGGGAATCATCCCCTTTTATGGCCTACCTGTTCAGGTTAGTGATTTACTATAATTTGCCCAGATGGTTATAGACCTCCAAAAGTTGGGTCATGGTTCCCCCATACTATAACTATGGTGAAACAAAATCCACTTAGAACTGGAACTGCGCTTACAAGTAAGCAACTGTCATGTAGTTAATTGAATAGTGACACCAAAATTGTCCACCTGCCCTTTGACAATCATTGCCATAACTTGCTGGAAAATAACGTGGTTTACTATTTAAAGCTTAAAGATGGTCGTCTTAGCTCATTTAGGCATGGTGTATCGTTTGGCTTTACCACATCGGTAGGTCTCAAACTGACAAGAACGGACAAAAAAATACAGGGAAAGGACTTGAAATAGCCAACACAATCAAGGACGTTGGGCAGGTAGCCAATAGAAGGATGAGACTACGACTGCAACCAATAAATGTGGACATACAATCTCTCAAGATAGGTATTGAATGAACAATCTATGCAAACTCCCAACCAAAATTGGCAGATTGTTTTTAACTAAAAATGACAAACTATTATTGTTGGTATAGATATATCATGATACATCTGTAGTGAATGTGGTTTATCAACCAACTTGTAAGGATGGGGGTGCCAACGTGTGAGGGTGTTTCGGTGTTTCCAATAAGAAATGAGGGATGTAATGTCACCCTGATCACATGGAATTCGTTTGAAGCGAAGGGAAACGCAACCAATTCACTTCCAACGCTAGCTTTAATCTATTGTGATTCCCTTGTTCGATTAACAGACTCCTCATTAGATGAAGTGTGCCATGATCATTGCAACAAATTGCAACAAGTACCAACTTTCTACACTGATGGTTCTTGTCCTTTTCCACAACTTGCGGATAGGAGTCTTTGTACCTGGTCAGTGGTTTGGGATTCACTGGATGATGATGTTGAGCGCTCCCATATAGCATCACTTGTTAAAGACCGTGGCATAATCCCTGAGTCCTTAGTCCCCATTCAAGCCTCACTTGTTCAAGGTCCGCAAACTGTGAACCGTGCGGAGTTAACTGCAATCCTCCAGATTGTCCGATCCGTTGAGTGTGCCGTGATCCACTCAGACTCTGCCTGGGCCATTAGTGCCTTTGAAAGTGTAAGAGAAGCACCTTTTTCTGAACTTCATGCAAGCAAGCCCAACTCAGACCTGTTGCTGGGCTTGTGTGAACTTACTAAAGAACGTGACCTCACTGCCTTTGACTTGCGTAAAATGAAGTCACATCTTTGCGTTAATGATGTGATAACCTTCACCTTTACCAGGCTTCCCCCCACCATATCCTAGGTAATAGGCTTGCAGATCGGGTTGCTGCCCAGGCTGCCCTTCCATCACGTTCACCCTTGCATGCAGCCAGTTGGGAGGTTGCTGAATGGTATACAAAGATGTTAGAAACACTAAAAAACTTGTCACCTTTTTTCGTGCAGTCCTACACCCGTCGCCTTGATGCCTTCCAAGGTGAAAAATCCAGTGAGAACGGCAGTAAGTCAACTCGATTTCGTATCCAGGACACTTGGAATGTGCCAGCTGAACCATGTATCGGAGCGATCGATATCCCTGAGGAAGCTCTTTCTGCTTTTCTGCCAGGCGCTAGCGTGTTACAGTGCATTGTCATGTGGTGTGCAGAACTTAAGTGGCCAACTGGTGAAGACAATTCTGGTGGTATTTACATGTATGGGTTAACTGCTAACTTTGTGGGCACAACCGGATGTGTCATGCCGAGGAAGGTTGCAGGGAAATTTCAGTCTAAGTACCTTGATCCACTGCTCTTTGAAGAAGCTGCCCTTCTTCCTCACAAGCAATGGGACGACGTGAGGATCCTTGAGATGGCCAATTTATTTTGCAGGAAATATTTACAGACTGACTTGCTCCCGCAGAAGCTCTACACTAAGCGTGTTTTTCTCTGGGGTTTTGGATACAAGAAAACTACCGCAGGTTTTTTGAACCGTCCGGTTCCCCCATGAAGATGTGCATTTTAACCATTTGCAGACAGTGATTCAAGGTGATGCCTTGTCTGTGCCAGTGACCTACAATGTCCATCACTCGGGGGTTAGGACCCTCACTGAACTTGACCGTATTCCCCATGAGAAACGTGTTCTTTTGGGCAAGAAACTGGACCACAGAGTGAGGAAACATGGAAGGATTTGAGACTTCTCCAGAGATTTGTTCTTTCAGGTTAACAGTGTGTTGTACAGTCATTGCAAGGTGTCTTGCAGGAGTTATTGGCTCTTGCTTGTTTCTTTCTCCCCTCATTAACCTTTTGGCCTGCAATTGCTAGCCGAGGGTCTGGCAGCTTGTCCGCTTGAGAGTGAATCAAAAGTTAGATTGTATACCCATATTCGGGCAAGCGTTATCAATCCATGATTACGGACTGGTATACGCATCGTAAGGATTTCCATTGTAACCATTGTAATGGGATTGACAGACTTTATATGGACTTGAATCTCGCTCCCAAGGGCCCAAAAGGAATCTATAGTGCTCTTTACCGATTTGGTGGTTTGGAACATGAATTTTATTTTTCCATTTAGTTGGGAATTTCATCATCCCAACTGACTCATATTTTTCAGAGGGGTAGGCTCAACCACCAACCAGTCTTTACCGACTTCAGCTTCCCTTGGTTTCCCGAGCCTCCACCGAGGCTTGCATTTGTCGGCGCTGCTTCACCGCTGCGGACAAGTGCCAAAGTCAGAGGCCGGTCATCCCCAAGTCCTGAGGTCACTGGGGGGAAATTTTAAAGGATTTGGCCATCTTTAAAGTATCTTAGTTGATTTTATAGTTGATTTACCATTAAAAATGGTGATGTTCCATAGTTATCTTGGTTTACCAGAGGGTAATCTGATTGGTGCTGTGGATCATGAATTTTATGTTTCCATTCAGTTGGGAATTTCATCATCCCAACTGACTTTCATATTTTACAGTTTCCCCAATAGTTTGGATGATGATCCAATCTGACTCATATATTTCAGAGGGGTTGAAACCACCGACCAGTTTAAAGTATGTTAAATGGGGATGACGACGAGAATTGTCATTGATTTTCTAGGATATCCTGGGATCCATCGTGGGATTTGCAGTTTGGTCGAGTTGGCTGAGTTGGCTGATTTTCCGAGATCCATTGAATCCATTGGACATGGAACATGCAAAGGGAATGTGGCAATTGAATAGGGTTTATGTTTTTGTTTTTTTAATGGTCCTTGGGTAAATCCAAGAAGTAAAAAATCATTGATATATCGGACACGCACACACACACACACATATATATATATATAAGCTGTGATTGTATAAGCATTGCTAAGTACTATATAATGTAGTGATACATAGTGATACCATTAATTCAGCAATGTAAAAATATATCACTATTATATCATTAATAATATCTAGATCAATGATTATTAGCTGGAATGTTGGGTAGTTGGGGTACTTGAATGACCAATGGCCAAGTACATAACACGCTGACCATGGTGACGTCCACCAATAAGGACGTTCTAATCCCTTCCCACCTGTTCAAACATCACAAACCCTGGAAACAAGTACCCTCTGGTAATGTGACATTGCTATTGAAAATGGCCATGTATACAGCCCGAGCGCTGGTTAAGAATCCGAAAGCTTGAGGCCCAGGTTCCCTCAAATTCTAATTTTTTTAAATGCAGGCAAATTTACACCACAACAGGCCGAGGGTCCCTCAAATTCTTAGGACTTGGGGCATTCTTAGTTATGTATTGCATGCATCTGCACAATTTGAAGCGAGCTTAAACGAGGTCACGAGGTGGAGTGAGCAGATTTGACAAGAGGCATGCAAAAAAATGATTTTTTAGAGCCTGAAAAATTGTTTTGTTGCAAAGCCGGGCTTGTCTGAGTTTCATGAGAGCAGTGCGGAAAAAAAAATAGAGCCTGAAAAATTGTTTGTTTTTGCAAAGCAAGGCTTTTCTGATTTTCATAAGGTTAGTGTGCAAAAAAAAAATAGAGTCTGAAAAACAGGTTTTTACAAAGCCGAGCTTTTCTGAGTTCATACGAGCAGTGTGGAAAAAACAATTTAGCGTGTTGGACCTCAGCCTGGAAGGGCGGAAGTTCCAATCCCGGTGGGGGACTTTTTGACATCTAACAGGGTCTGTCGATATGTTTTTTTCTTGTTTTCCTGTAGTCTATCCACATATCGATTTTGCGTGCGAAAAAATGCAATTTTTCCGAGCCTGAAAAAATGTTTTTCTGCAAAGCCCGATTTCATCCCATAAGACCATAAGGGGTCACGCCACAAAAAAAAATGAACCGCAAAGGGGACTTGCAAACCTCAAAAATAAGCAGTAATTTAAGAATTTGGCAATCCTATTCCAGGGCCCCTCAGATTCTTAAAGTACTATGTGTTTGGTATACCTGAAAATATGTAGCCCGCCTTGGATTCCAGCCCTCAAATTCTTATACCGTGAATTCTTGTACAATACTCAAGCTGTAGTTGATTTAGTCATTAAAGATGGTGATGTTCAATAGCTATGTCAGTTTACCAGAGGCTAGGGAAGAAATCACATATGACTGGGACCATGTAGGTGTTTCTCATATGAGAGATGAGAGTACTTAGATGTGCATCCGATTTGTGAAGTGGGTAAGAAACATGTGAGTAACCGACAAACTTAGCAGAAGACTCGGTTTCTAGGGAGTGGACTTGGGATGTGTAAAATCTAGTGAAAACGTGAAAAACAACCGATTTTTCCCAGCCACTTTGTTGCTGTTATGGCCTCGGTCACCGGTGACGTGAAATGTGAGATGGGTATAGGAAATGGTGGGTTAAGGATTGAAACAATAAGAAAAAGGGACAACATATGGTGAAAAATTGAACCAAAACACTTGTAGGATTTCAATATTTTTTAGGGTAGACCTTTGTTAGGTACAACTGCTGAATGGTTGGACGACTAAACCAAACATAAATGGCACATTTCATAAAATAGGGGTGTCACTAAATTGAAATGGAGATATGGTCAACCAAAGTGGGTAAACACACCAGTGTATGGTAGGTTACTGGCTTAAGACATGGGGTTTCAGCAAAAAACATGGAGAATGTACCAAGTGATATACCATTAACATACCCATACACCATAAACCACTGAATTCACAAAGTGATGTCCACCAACTTAGCTATTGAGGGGGGCCCACATCATCCATTTTTATTTTTAAGGTATCTATTGGGGTACCACCCCAGTTTAGGAAACAACCTATTTAATATTAGGATGGAAAAATTGGGGATCAGGAAATGAACACTATGATCTTTGCACTGATTGCTTACGAAAGGTGAAATTGTGTGCCCCAGCTCCTATATAGATTTTTCTTTTTTATAGCAATGTGGTTCATGTTCAGCACAGTCCATCAAAACATATATTGCCGATAGCACTTGGTGATGTACTTGAAACACTATAGAATACAATATACTAATTCAGTGATTGATGAGATGTTGACTTTCACAGCTCGCAATGAGTCTGACCCATCGCTGGTCACTTTTTTTGTAGGGCCACGACTGAACATGACCCATGCGACTGCCTGGTCCTACCCAGCTGGACAGCCCAGGCTTTTGGCACCTCACAATCTCATGCTTGATCATGACTCCATTATGGCTATGGCTATGGGTCATTTTTTTAAAGACCTGGACCACAGGTTACCCTCTGGTAAACAGGCACACAACTATGGAAAGATCCACCATGCTATTAATGGGTAAACCCACTATTTCTATGGCCATGTTCAATAGCAAACTCCCCCATTTTCAATAGCAAACTGTTAGTTTACCAGGTAACCAGGTTGTAGTTCATTAACATGTATTAACCATCCATTTTTTGGGGGATCTCTGGGATCGGCACAAAAGTGGCAGGTTGGATTGCCTGTGTGGCTTAAAGAGGTCGTCGGAAGGCCGGCCAAATTTCGCAAATTTCACTTCAATTTTTTGGTTGAAGATCATGGGGATGCTGATAGTTGCTATCTATTTTTTGGGATTTAAAGAGATTTACAGTAATGGGATCTATATACTGGATTGGGATTCAATTGATATGATTGAATTTAGTGAGATTTTTCATGGGAAGTGGGATTTGCTGAGTGGCTGATTTCTGATTTTCCCACTGGGGACATCCACTATTTGGAATCTTTAAGGAAGGTGTTTGATATTTCTGGGGGTTCCTTAAGCAAATCGAAGCCCATTGGTTAAAACATGAATTTGCCATGGTATACCTCATTTTCAGGCACACCCATATGTAAGGAAAGGAATAAAACCAGAATGTAATGTTGGCAACATGTCTTTCCATGTTTCTCATTCTAAGACACAGCCATATACCAGGTGAATGAAGCGACAAACACGGGCAGTTGGTTACTGAAGATGGTGTGATGCTACTCCATAGAACTTTGAATTCGGTTAAAAATATAACTATAACCCTTCACCACTTATAAATCACTTAGTATGTGATACCACATTTATGAAATCATATCCACATTTACTTACAATCAGTTATAACTGGTAAAGGGCTTTAACTGTAAGATAAGTTTGGATTTTACTAGCAAACAATAGAGATTGATCCAGCAAACCAACTGAACTTTGCCGAGCTTGTTCAACAATTCTAGTAGTTGTCATTTCGAGTTGTGGTCACCAATTTTTACCACAATATCCTTATCTAGGAGAAGCTGACAGTTAAAGATGAAGCAGCCTTGGATAGCCCACGCATCGATTACTTACGGGGTGGCTTCCACCAATTCAGGCATTTTCATCAACAAAAAACACAACATGAGAATCAGACTCGGGATGTCCCGGAAATGACATGTTGTTATTTTTGTTAAATCTATCGTTTCTGGGTTCTTGGTTGCACATGGGCCCCTACAAAGCCTTTAGCCAAGTCTGGGAACCATCGTCTACAGATGTTTATTCTGCATGTGCCATGGTCAAGTCAGTAGGATTAGATTATCCATGATTAAAATTGGGGGATAGTCATCCCTGCGATTAATATTGCTTAAAAGACCCACTAGACGTATTTCCTAATAATGATGTGATGACCATAACCATCCATAACCTATATACCATGTTTTGACCATGACTGGCATGGTTTTGTAATTGGGATAATCGTTCTCTAATTGGGATAATTGGCATAATGTAACTATCTTGGTATTTGCCAATAGCAATTATTGTTATCTGGTGGTTTCCATAGATGGGGTACCCCCAGTTATCATCAATTTATCGTTGGAATTGTTGGAATTCCCATTATAAACCATCCAGCTACTGGGATACCCCCAGTTTAGGAAACCCCCATCTACTCTGATATACTCTGATATTTGTTGGTAGGAGATGGACAGACACGTGCTTTGAAAGCCAGTTGCAAATCAAACCAACAACCACGATTCCCTGAAGAATATGATGTAGAGGACAGTTTCATCATTGTTTAATCCTCTTGTGAAAAACCTTCAGAAATCAGAATGAATTGACATCTGGAAGCTCTTGTCCACGTGCATCGTGCTGTTTGCAAGCCGCCAAAATGCAAAGAACGCGGCAGACCGGTCCTTGGCACTGATTTCGCCCATGTGACGAAAGTCGCACCCTTCAGGGGCGGACATCTCGTTCAGGTCGTCTTGAACGAAGACGGGGTCCAAACAGCCAAGCCCGACAGCGTGGGGTGTTGGCAGAAGTGGTCGCAATAACGAAGGGTTTCAGGTCTTGCCTTCAGCGTGTCGTGCTTTTGCATATACATATATATTATAGATAACGAGATTTTGAACTGAATAGATATGATATGAGTTGATACAAAACAATTTGATATTTTATGATTTAATGAAATGTTTTGAATTTTGAAAAATTACATATAATACAATATCAATGATATGATATGATTTAATGTAATGGTGTGCAATATTCAATGATAACGATATTATACCAGTAGTACCGCACAAGGCGGTGGCGGAAGTTTCAAAAATAGGAAACCTATAGGAGAGATTGGTTGTTGTGAAGCAGGGGTGGCAGAGCGAATCCACTGATGGACCGAAAGGTGCTTGAGGTCTGCTCTCTTTCTTTCTCTTTCTCTGACTATCTACCCACCTACCAACCTATATTCTATGTATCTATCTATCTATCTATCTATCTATCTATCTATCTATCTCTCTATCTATCTATCCATCGACCTATCTATCTATCTATCTATCCATCTGTCTATCTATCCGTCTATCTATCTATCTATCTATCTATCTATCTATCTATCTATCTATCTATCTATCTATCTATCTATCTATCGACCTATCTATCTATCTATCTAACTATCTATCTATCTATCTATCTATCTATCTATCTATCTATCTATCTATCTATCTATCTATCTATCTATCTATCTATCTATCTATCCGTCTACCTATTTACCTGTCTATCTATCTATCTATCTATCCATCCATCCATCCATCTATCCATCTATCCATCTATCCATCTATCCATCTATCCATCTATCTTTCTATCTTTCTATCTTTCTATCTATCTATCTATCTATCTATCTATCTATCCATTGACCTATCTATCTATCTATCTATCCATCTATCTATCTATCTATCGACCTATCTATCTATCTTTCTTTCTTCCTTTCTATCTATCTATCTCTCTGTCAATCTGTCAATCTGTCGAGCTGTCTATCTGTGGTGCAGTGTCATTCAGTGTAATGTAGTGTAGTGTAGTGTAGTGGAGTGTAGTGGAATGTAGTGTAGTGTAATGTAGCGTGGTGTAGTGTAATTTAGTGTAGTGGAGAGTAGTGGAGTGTAGTTGTGTATTCGTAGTTGTAGTTGTAGTGTAGTGGAGTGTAGTGTAGTGAAATGTAGTGAAGTGTAGCGGAAGGCTAGTGTAGTGTAATGTAGTGTAGTGTAGTGGAGTGTAGTGTAATGTAATGTAGTGTAGTGTAGTGTAATTTAGTGTAGTGGAGCGTTTTGTAGTGGAGTGTTGTTGTGTAGTTGTAGTTGTAGCGTATTGGAGTGTAGTGTTGTGTAATGTAGTGAAGTGAATTGGAAGGTAGTGTAGTGTAATGTAGTGTAGTGGAGTGTAGTGTAGTGTAATGTAATATAGTGTAATGTGATTTAGTGTAGTGAAGTGTAGAGGAGTGTAGTGGAGTGTAGTTGTGTATAGTTGTAGTGTTGTGTAATGTAGCGTAGTGTAGTGCAGTGCGGTGTAGTGGAGTGTAGTGTGATGTAATGTAGTGTAGTGAAGCGAAGCGACATCTGAACCTCCAAAAGTGCTCCGAACCCCTAGTGTTTTGTACATGTTCACTTCGAAATGTGCTTCGCGCCACAACGGCGTGCACTTTTTCGACATCTGAACTTCCAAAAGTGGTCCGGACCTGGTGTGTCTTGTACATTTTGACTGCTTCGTGCCACAACGGCGTGCACTTTTTCGAGATCTGAACTTCCAAAAGTGGTCCTAACCCTTAGTGTTTTTAACATTTTGACTTGGAAATGTGCTTCGCGCCACAACGGCGTGCACTTTTTCGAGATCTGAACTTCCAAAAGTGGTCCGAACCCTTAGTTTGTTTAACATTTTGACTTGGAAATGTGCTTCGCGCCACAACGGCGTGCACTTTTTCGAGATCTGAACTTCCAAAAGTGGTCCGAACCTTCAGTGTTTTTAACATTTTGACTTCCAAATGTGCTTCGCGCCACAACGGCGTGCACTTTTTGGACATCTCAACTTCCAAAAGTGTCCGAGAATGGTGCACTTTTTGGACATCTCAACTTCCAAAAGTCGTCCGACGCTGAGGTGTTTTGTACATTTTGACTTCCAAACGTGCTTCTTGCCACAACGGCGTGCACTTTTTCGACATCTCAACGTCCAAAAGTGGTCCGACGCTGAGGTGGTTTGTACATTTTGACTTGGAAATGTGCTTCGCGCCACAACGGCGTGCACTTTTTCGACATCTCAACTGCCAAAAGTCGTCCGACGCTGAGGTGTTTTGTACATTTTGACTTGGAAATGTGCTTCGCGCCACATCGGCGTGCAATTTTTCATCTCTCATCTGGCCAGCTGGCTCCGCACCCGCCGCTTTAGCGAGCCTACTTTTCGACCCTCCGGAGCCCCAAATCATTGGGAAAACACAGTGTTTCGCGACTTTCCTACCATTTCACGCATCTGCATCTTCTTTCTTCTTATACTCTTTCTCTTCTACTCTTCTTTCTTCTAATCTTTCTCTTCTCCCTGCCTCTTCCCTGCTCTGCTTTTCTTCTGTCCATATTGTCGGAAGTTTGACTTCTAAACTTCCTTCGACAAAAACATATATAATATAATATAACATGATGTGATATCATATGATATGATATGTTTCAATGACATGACATGTAATATAATTGAATATAGTATGATACAATATAATATAATATAAAATATGATGATATAATATAAATGCGGTAACATGATATATGATATGAAACATATGATACGGTATGATATAATGAACTGTTCTGTGATATAATGTGAAACATAGAATACAATGAATTATCATAACATAAACATATCATATATGATGATATGACATAATGAAGTGTTGTGTAATATAACAAAAATAACATGTAATATGTTGGACTATTTTATTATATAATGTAATACAACCTAAGAACATATAAATATGATCTGTAGTACCAAATATTGTGTGATATACTTTCAATTATTTGTTTGATTTATTCTACATTATATATAGTATACATGACATTATATGATAAGTATATATTATAAAGTTTGTTCATTAGAATGTGCACTATAATTTACATTATAGCATACATTATATTCTACATTATACACTATATATATTTACAAAATATAGATATATTATGAGATATTACATTGTATATACTATGAATTGATAATCCATAGGAGATGGGTTGGAGGAGGGAACACCACTTGAAAAGGGGAACATACAACCTTTGGACATCTATTCATGATACTCACGTTTGGCTAGAGGAATTTACCATGGCACTAACCCCATTAGCAAGTAATTTACCACATTCCACCCATCATATTTTCTGTTTGGAGCCAAGGTTCATTTCCTATTCAACACAATGTACTATTTATTCCAATATTTTCCAAATTCATCCATTTTTCATCACACATTTTCCCAATTCATCTCCCGATATAGATTTCCATGACAGTCCTAGGACGACTGTCTCCATCGATCATAGGGACCAGAGTAGGAGACCATGATTTTTGCCAATAAATAGTCCTCTTACCATACCCTCTGGTAAACATACAAAAAACTATTGAAAATTGTGATTTTCCATAGTTATAGTGGATTTACGCATTAAACATGGTGATTTTCCATAGAAATAGTGGATTTACCCATTAAAACTGGTGGATCTTTCGATAGTTATGTGGCAGTTTACCAGAGGGTACTTGCTCCATTACTGTAGTACCACACTTTCTCCATTTAGTATTGCGTCAATCCTACACCATATATACCTACAAAATCCCTATCAATAGCTCTATATCTGAACCCCATTTACCCCATCCAACATGGTCCTCATCTCCGGTCTGCGGCATCCGCTCTCCAGGCTTCATTGTGACGCCAAAACGCCACGTGAACTCGCCAGCGGTCTCTGGGCGCTGGCCAAGTTGCGCGCGATGGCGGAGGCGGAAGAGTGGTTAAAGGAGACTGGGTCAAAATTCCTGGAGAGTTACAAGGTACAATGTGGGGCCCCCCAGTTATAAGTTGGTTTGTTGGAATTGTTGGAGGGTTGTGTTGGAGGCTTTTCTCACAACTTTGGAATTGTCAGATTTGAATCTGTTGAATACTGAGTGTAGTCCTGTAGCTGAACATATTTTTCATGGGCTTAAAACCCCTGTGGGGAAAACCAGTGATGTGAAGATTGGTTTATAATCCCAGTAACTATATAGTTATGAGTACTATAAACCATAGTTTTTGGAGTTATGAACCAACTTAGCGATTTCGTTTGGGGGCCCCACTTTGTAGGGACCCCAACACCCTGAGTTGGTTTCAGGTTGGCAATGGTTGGCATTTATTACTAGTTAATTATCCATCCGCGTCTCCTTTTCAAACAATATCCACATCCAAATATAGTTAGGGTCACACATATTTTCGGGGATTCCATGCATTGAGTATTGCGGAACAATTGGCCTAATTGGAACGGCATAATTCTCATGTTGGGACCCTTTCAGTATTGCCTGTCCAATTGCCTGATAAAAAAGGAATATGTAAATCACATCAGTTCAATGCAAAACTGTTTGAGGTTCAAATTTGAGAAACAAAGTTTTTGCAAGGAAAAGTAATTTTGTTTAAGAATTCGGCAAGCACTAGGTATATTCACCCAACATTCCGACAGAAATCATTGGGGATGGATCACAAGTAACGCTGACCGCTCCACAGGAGCTTCCAGAGGAAAGGGAATGGAAACCGCAGGAGATCCCGGAGCTTCCCCAGTGAAGTCTTTAAGTTGGTTTTGAAATCTAACTACATTTATAACATGTTATAACTACATATATACAGGGGTACCATATAGTATAATATATGTGATATATATATATATACATATGTAAATACATATATATATATAGTGTATAGTAAAACATCATATTTATATATATATATACATATACATATGTAATTTGCAGTGAGATATGAGTTGTAAACCAACTTACCTAGCTTTAGGGCACCACCTTAAATGGTGTAGTTAAGCCTAGCAACATTTGTTACATGAAAATGATGATTTGTACCACATATGTCCCTTTTTGGGCACGGGTGGATCCTGGAGTGGATAGAAATATGGATTATCACAATCAAATGGTGGGAAATGTTTCACACAGCGAGAAGATCAATTTTCCAACATATGTCCTCTTTTTTGCATTTGTTGGATTTTGTTTGAGGATTTGGATTGACATTTCCATATTCTATCTACTTCAGAACGATTATAGACAGGAATGTCCTGGCTGTCTTCTCCAGCGTCAAGCCCTCGGGTTTTGTTGGAGGCTTTTCTCACGACTTTGGAATTGTCAGATTTATTTGAATCTGTTGAATACTGGGTGTAGTCCTGTAGCTGAACATATTTTTCATGGGCTTAAAACCCCATCTAATGGTAGATTCCTACAATGTGGCCCCCCCCCCCAGTGATGTGAAGATTGGTTTATAAACCCCAGCGACCAGTTCGTTATAAATACCATAAACCATAGTGAAATTGTAGTTATGTGAACACCAGCTTGGCGATTTCGTGGCCATGGAGGTCCCACTTTGTATAGATGTATGGCTTTGTCTGAAAATAGGCTACCTACAGTTATGGCCATTAACATCATTAACAGTTTTATACATGGAGATATAACTTCCATAACTAGTTGCTTATACATCATGAACTAATTTCATTACAAAAAAAAAATCTTGGGCCATAACTGTGGTAAACTAACAGTTTGCTATTGAAAATTGCCATTTAGTTCGTTGATTTACCCATTAACAATGGTGATTTTCCAGTTCTTATTTGTCTGTTTATGGAAAATCACCTTTTGATAGCTGTTAGTTAGTACCATTTAGTACCTCAAAATCCAACGATCAACGGCACCTTATCGAAACGTCTATCGCAGGAGTTGTCCAATACTCTCTGGGCATTGGCCACTTTGCTGCTCGCTGAAGTTTATCATGACTCGATGATGTGTGATGCATCAGTGTTTTTTGTTTCTCTATACACAGATCATACATATATCATCTATATATACCATCATATGCCATCATATACCATCATATACCATCATATACCATCATATACCTACATATATACATAGTATTCATGGATTGAAGTGTGTGCAATATGTCAATATGTGTTTCATGATCTGCTTTGTGGTTGAAAAGAATTGTGATTGTTGTTGTTTTGAGGATCCCTGTATGTACCCGAAATGGAGCACTCAAACTACCCATCCTTCTGACATAGGCATCAGTCAAATTTGGTCCCCAAAAAAGGAGACACAGCAGCTGATGAAATCCGATCCAACTCGAAACGTTCCAACCTGAATTTTGAAACCATGTCACAACCAAAGTTGTAAGTGTTCAACCATACTGACTCATATTTGGGATGATGAAGTTACAATTATATAAGTCTATATATATATATATATTCATATTTCGGATATTTGGGATGATCCCCAATTGATCAATGTATCTTTCAAATGGCTTGAACCCAGCAGGACGTTTCTGATTTCCCAGGTCTCTCAAGGAGGCAGGGAGGGGAGAACGGGGAGAACTGGGAGAACTGACGATGGAACATGGAGCGCAACAAAGCTCATCAAGACTGGGGTTCAATTTGGTATAACACGGTGCAACGGGCACATCACCAACACTATTCATCACTATTCAGATTATTCAGGGTGTTCCAAAAAGTTTTCTCTTGCTTTTAAGCACCAATGCCGGGTTGTTGTAATACCATATCTATATATATAGTTGATGTACGTGCAAGGTACTTAGATGGACCATGGAGTTTGTGAACTGGTCAGCTGGATTATGGCCTGTTACTGGACCTGTTACGAGGGAGATATAAACATATTAATAGGATAAACATATATAAACTACAGTTATGGCAATCAATAGTTATAAATGTACATAGAACTCCTATAACTAAGGTTTTACTGTTATACATCATGATAATCCCATAAAAAAATAACTGTTGGTTGGGCCATAACTGTAGTTACTAAGCAGGCAACTCGATGGCCCAACCCTAGCGTTTAGCGACCCATCTGAAGGGAGCATCGGATGATTTGGGGTGATGGTGCATGTGGTTGACCGAATAGAGTTACATGTTCCACAACCTTCCTTTACCTGGGTTGACTTACTTGTGCTTAGTAGGGAATGGATGTCAATGAGGGAGTGGAATTATTATTGATAGATATTGTGGATCATTCCCTCATTCCCTACTAAGCACAAGCAAGTTAAATATGATTAAAGAAAGGGGTTGGTAAATGTACCTTTTTGTGGAGATTTTGAACATCACCTTCAAGTATTTGCTGGATATTATACCCCTAGCTGAGTGGCGCTCAATTAAGACATTTCCCCCTGATAGATTGTTTGTGTTGTTGGGATTATATAGATGATTTCAGCTTGTAACTCGTAACCCAATAAAAGTTAAACATTTTCAGCAAGGGATCAACCGACAACACCAGGACTCGGTCATTTCATTTCAGCGGAATCTTAAGATCATCAAGATCCATCAGGATCCCCTTTTTTTCCTGCAGATTGTTGGCGGGCAGTTATGGCCATGGCTATTCGTTATAACTTGTTATTTCTATGGGATAAAAAACATTCTATAAATGGGGTTTTCTTAGTACTTATAACTGGTATTTCGGGCCTTAACTGTGCAGATTGTTGCAGGGCGTCCACATCAATGAGAATTTCAGGATGCTAAAATTGTGTGGGGATATTCCCTGAAATTTAGGCCTAAACAAATAGGCCAAACATATATGGGATCGGTACCTCCAATCAATCGGTCCCTGAAATTCCCATTCTCCACAAGCGACAAGGTGGTGCCCCCCCAGTTTTAAGATGGTTTACAATCCCATTAACTAGTTCGATATATCTACCATAAGTCCTAGTGAAATTAGAGTTATAAACCAACTTAGCTATCGACCGGGGGCACCACATTGTATATGGATGTCAAGACTTGGCAGGAAATGTGGTACAAGACTTTGGCTCAGTGGAGCACCAAAAGGATGGAAAGCATGGAAGGCCGGATCGGTGGCGATGGATCCGATGGGTGGCCCTGCAAAAAAGCTGCGCAGAAAGGGACAATCAGCAGTTCTACAAGGTGCAGTTAAGGCCCTTTACCAGTTATAAGTACTTATAACCCCATTTATAGAATGTATAATCCCATTTATAACTAGTTATAACTAATAAATGGCCATAACTGTGGGCCCCCCGTTTCCGATCGCTAATTTGATGCAAATAACTTGGTTAATTATGGTTAATTATGGTTTATGGCTATGGGCTAGATATTAAACATGATATGATCGCTGCGACCCTGACGTTGCGCCGCGTCTGACTTCAGGTGGATATGAAGATAAAGTTGATGTTATTACCCCAAACAACATATTGTTCATAGGGTGTGGCGGAGTTTGATCCCTTATGAAGATAAAGTTGATGTTATTACCCCAATCAACATATTGTTCACAGGGGATGGCAAATTTTGATCCTTGATGAAGATAAAGTTGATGTTAATACCCCAATCAAAATATTGCAGCCGCATCTCATCGCGCCCGCCCAGAGTTCGTGGAGTGCGAGGTGGAAGGGCCAAGAGGACCGGAGAACTCATCCGTAGTTGGCAACGTGATTTTGATCTCTTCTCAAACTGGCTGTACAAAGAGACGCAAGGGTTCTGGCTCTCATACCTTTGGTACGAAACTGTTGATCCTGAGCTCATCTGGACAATACGTGTGTTCCGAGCGCTTCGACAGTACTGCACAGCTGATCAGATCTTTGTTCATTTTGCCAACACTTTCCGTCCATATCGCAATTGGGTGTTTTCTCACAGTTACAGGTGGAGAGACGGTGTCGCTCGAGCCCAACAAACTGCTCATTCAATTGAATTTCTGACCCAGATCGATCCACTTGGGACGATTATAACCAGTACAGAGGACCTCAAGGGGTAAGGGGATTTGTGTTTACACGTAACACTAGCCCGGCACCACCGGAAGAAAATAGCTTAGGACCAGACCTATTGGGGGATCAACAATCTTCTTCTGAAGAGACCCATACTCCTCCATCACCAGCTGGCGAATTTTGATCCCTCATGAAGATAAAGTTGATGTTATTACCCCAGCCAACATATTGTTCATAGGGGGTGGCGAATTTTAATGTATGATGATCATGATGTTTTGATGTGATGATGTGATGATGTGATGATGATGTTCATCATCATCATCATCATGACGATTGTAAGTGTGGAGCAACGTCCGGTTTGGAGCCAACATGATGTAACCATCATTACTTGATGGGGTTTAGAAACCAATTGATAACTCGGGCGGCCTCACCTGCATTTGAGTTGACAGGTTAGATTGCGCCATGGGTCGCGTGAATCACTATCTCCCAAGCTGGCGATTGATCAGCCCAAAAAATGAGTGGATACGAAACACATGAGAGTGTCACCGAAAGGACGGAGGCCAAAAGAAATACTTTCCGGCAGTTTCACATAAATTTTGAAAATGGCGCATTTATGGTTGAATGACCTAGATTTACCCATGAAAACCTGTTGTTTTCCCATTTGTTGAAGAACCAGTCAGTATCCTACTGGTGATGATGAGTTGAAATGGCTTTGAAGTTCTTGTGGACCTTCATGTGGACTTTTGTGGAATTTTGGGAATTGTCGCAGCAGTAGAACCTGAAAGACCAATCAAAGACTTTGCACTGCAGGAAAGCAACTGTTCCATAAATGTCCATACTATGATGGTATCCTACATGTGCTTGACTCCATGTCTCAAAGGCAACCTTTTGTGGTAAAACCGCCCCAGTTTGCCCGAAGAAACATGATGAAACAGAATCTCGCAAAGGATCACAAAAAGGACAAGGTGGGCCCACCGTTCACGATAGCTAAGTTGACCTAACTAAGTGAACTGGAGGTTTCCTAAAGTGGGGGTACCCCAGATATCATTTTTTTTCTTGGGGGGTGGATTTTCCTTGACATTCACCATCCAGCTATTGGGGTAGCCTTGTTTTAAGAACCCCCAAGTATGGTTTAAAGTTTAAATTTTGAAATAACCCTCCTCAGTGATAAGTTGATTAAGAAAACCCAAGCGATAGCTAAGTTGACTTATAACTTGGTTAATTATTATTTATGGAGGATACATATGCCAGAAGTGAAATTTAGAATGCCTCCCAGGTTTCCAAAACGATAATCTTAGACACTTAGAATGACTCGGTTTCGTGGGCATGCTAAGTGTTTGAAACCTGCAAAAATACACATAATTTAAAATTCTAGATTTTACTTCTTTTTGATGACATTTTCCCAAAAAACGACTATCGAAGCCCAAAAATGATGACCCTTCCAGATTATTCTCACTTTTTTGTTCATCCACTTACTACCCTTTCGACGGTCATGCTAAGTGTATGAAACCTGCAAAAACACACACAAATTGACTTGCAGGGAACAACTAGGGAAATACACGGGGAAACTTATAGTAACTACTGATCCTTGGATAAGGGTATGGTATGGTATGGTGGTTTACCAGAAAGATGGCAAAACTTGTGAAGGGTCACCACTTTCAGCGTTACAAGCATATAACCAGATTATTTCCCTATGATTTTCCTATTATTTCCCTAGTTGTTCCCTATTATTTCCCTATTTTTCCCCTATTGTTCCCTATTATTTCCCTATTTTTCCCCTATTGTTCCCGGAGAAACATGAAGAAACCACATTCTAAGTGTTGAAAACCTTCTAAATATCAGTAAATTAAAAAAATTGACCGGTGCAGATTTTTTTGCTGATGTTTTTGCATCTTTCTAA